CTCTTGTTTTTCAATAAAATTACCAAAAAAGGAAATTTTTAAGAAAACTGGGGATCAGCGGAAAGAGTTTTTTTTTTTATATATTCATAGAAGTATTTAATCAATTACAATTTCTTATTATTTATTGAAAATTTATATAATACTAATCCAATCTTGTTCGCTTTAAAAAGTAACAACAAATCATTAGATAAATTCTTTTTATCAAACTTTATTTGTTAAACAAAAGGAATTATAGTATAACCATCCATATATAGTATAATTTTATACTAAATTCTAATAAAGTAAACTGAGATAGTATTTAAAAAAAATTAAAAAATAAATAAGTTGTTATATAAAAAAGTATAATATAAAATCTTTAAATTTAAATAGATATAATTTATAATAACAAGAATATAAATTAATTAAGAAATAAAATGCAAAAATAATTGAAAATAATCTTTTGCTAGAGATTTTATACAGTATATAAAATCATTTTTGTTTATAATCAAAGATTTTATGTTAGCTGTGTATTTTTTTTTATAATGGAGTAAATGCTTATGGCTAATTCGATGACGAAATTTATATGAACCAAATTAGACCGTCGCAACCATATTGGCCAATGACTGTCGAGTGTAAATCAACAGTCGTTACAGACAGCCTTCTGATTCCTTTTTTCTCCTAAGAGTCAATCGGTAATCAAGTCACACCTTTACCTTCACATTTAGTGTTCTATAAAATCAACTGCTGCGTATACGGGACAAGAAAATTTTAGCATAATAAATACGTCCCCTCGGCCCCCCGTGGATTATTTGTTCTCAGGCACGTAGTCTTATCATCACTAGTGCACTGAGCAAACTCTTTTTAAAACAATCTAATTGTAAGACCGTTTTCTACATTAACAGAAACCATATAAAAGAAGTCATCATGGAATGGGTACCAACACAAGAGGGGCTTTCACAGCTGTTACAGCTTCTAAAAGAGTCTGTGTCGTCAAATAATGAAATTCATACCATGATACAACAAGTATCCTTTACATATTTTGACAATTTCGCATGTAATCACGACGCGCTTATTATTAATTCGGTGGAACTTTCCTTTGTGTGAAGTTCACCAAGTTATTTTTTAATCGCGTTTTGTGTACAAAACCGTTTTTCATTAAGAGTGTGCTCTATATCATTGCACTCGCAAAAATTATCTTGGATAAAGGATGTTCAATTCCTATGCTCATGTTTATTAATGAACATGAGAGCACTGCTCGTCCATTCAACTCGATTATCACTCCGGTGAATTCTATTATTCTTAACTATTCCTGCATATATTTTTTTCATTTTCATAGAAACTCGAGTCTTTCAATAAAATACCGGATTACCCAAATTACCTCGTATACATTCTCACCCAAATGCCACAGGAAGAAGCGTCTACCCGCGCTATCGCAGGCCTTCTTCTGAAAAATACAATTCGGGTATATTTCTCAACAATTCCACGCGAGGTGCTTACATATGTGAAGACGTTGTCGATTAAAGGGTTGGGTGATCAGGATATGATGGTACGAAGTATTATTGGAAATGTGATCACTACCATTGTAACGAGAGGAGGGCTGGTGGATTGGCCTCAGATTTTGCCAAGTTTAATGGAGCTGTTAAACTCATCTGATTATAATGTTGTGGAGGTCGGTATGAGCATTGATTTGTTGATTGGATTGGTTTTTATAATTTCTTAGTTTAAATTTATTTGCATTTAAATATTTAGGGTTCTTTCGGTGCGCTGCAAAAAATTTGCGAGGATTCAGCTCGCGAACTCGATCAAGATACCAATGGGACACGACCCCTTAGCTACATGATCCCTAAAATAATTCCGTTTTTCGACTCACCACATGTTAAGATTCGTGTATACGCTGTCTCATGCGTGAATCAATTTATTTTAATGAGATCAAATTCGCTTTATAATCACATTGACGAATTCGTGGCGGCCCTTTTCAAGAGGGCTACTGATGAGAATCCAGAAGTCCGTAAGAATGTCTGCCAGGCTCTGGTAATGTTGCTTGAAGTTCGTCCTGACAAGCTTATGCCCGAAATTGGTAACGTTGTGGAATACATGCTATACTCTACGCAAGACCAAGACGAACAAGTAGCGCTTGAGGCGTGCGAGTTTTGGCTGGCATTTGCAGAGCAAGAGGAGCTCAGGGATCATTTGCGCCCCTTCCTTCCTAGAATTGTACCTGTATTGCTAAAGGGTATGGTTTACAGCGAAATGGATATCATGACCCTTGGTGGTGACGAAGATGATTCCAACGTTCCGGATAATGAGGCAGACATTAAACCCCGCTTTCATCGAGCAAAGACCCACACATTTGAACGAACTGAGTCCAACGGTGGCGAATCCTCTGCACCCGTTTCTCGGGAGGAGGACGAAGATGATGACGACGATGACGATATAGATGATGATGATATTTATTCAGAGTGGAACCTGCGAAAGTGTTCTGCCGCTGCTTTGGACGTACTTGCTACCGTTTTTGGAAATGAACTGTTGGAAATCTTATTACCCTTCCTGAGAGAACAACTATTTCACCAAGAGTGGAAACACCGTGAATGCGGTATTTTGGCTCTTGGAGCTGTTTCAGAAGGTAAAATATTTTCTTTTCATCTCACGACCGATTTTATAATACTGCTCAACTTCACGCAAAATGCTTTATAATAAACAAACAAGGATGCATGGAAGGGGTGGAACCTCACTTGCAAAACTTGATTCCCTATCTTATTCAAACGCTTAACGACAGCAAGGTATCTATCTTTTTACATGAAAGAGTGAAAATGGTCTTTATCATCAAATTCCTATCGACTTTTTAACGACTTGATTCATGGTGTAGCCGCTCGTTCGTTCAATCACATGTTGGACACTGGGTCGCTATTCGCGTTGGTGTGTAAACCCCCCAAATCCGCTTCAAGACCGATCCAAATATTTTGAGCCTTTACTCGAAGGGGTGAGTGATATCGCGCGGTCGTTGTCCTTATCATCGAACCATAAACTTATCTTTGTTCCTTTACTACCCGAAGCTCTTGCGTAAGGTTCTTGATAATAATAAGCGCGTCCAAGAAGCAGCTTGCAGCGCGTTTGCTACTTTGGAAGAAGAGGCCTGTGAATTGCTTGTCCCTTATTTAGATCCGATTCTTCGGAATCTTGTTTTTGCATTTTCAAAGTATCAACACAAGAATTTGCTCATTCTTTACGACGCAATTGGTACCCTGGCCGATTCTGTCGGTTCGGCTCTCAACAAAAAGGAATACATTGACATTCTCATGCCACCACTTATTGAAAAATGGCATTTGCTTAAAGATGACGACAGAGATCTATTTCCCTTACTGGAGGTTAGTGGAATGACGTCGAATTTTGGTTTGACTAATGTCACCTTTCCATAATAACTTGCGAAACTGAAAAATCCATAAAATCTATAGTGTCTATCCTCAGTTACAACCGCTCTTGGATTAGGTTTCCAACCATTTGCTCAGCCAGTTTTTGAACGTTGTGTTAAGCTAATCCACAATACCCTGGTGCAATATCAAATGCATCAACAGAATCCTTCAGTAGAAGTTCCAGACAAGGATTTTATGATTGTCGCATTGGATTTGTTGAGCGGACTGACACAAGGATTGGGCAGTCATATTGATCCTTTTGTAGAGCACAGTAATCCTCCCTTACTGTCCTTGCTGAACGTCTGCTTAACTGTACGTTTATTATTTATTATCCTTAAGGGGAGTAATTATAATAGTAATTAATTAGTGAAATCACGTTAACAATTGTCATAATGTTAGGATCTTGTTGCTGAGGTTCGACAGTCTGCCTACGCTCTATTAGGTGATCTTTCCATTGCATGTTTCCCTCGTATCAAACCTTTCCTCAATCAATTTATGGTTGACTTGATTAGCCAAGTTGATCCCGCCGCTGAACATGTTAGCGTTTGTAATAATGCTGCATGGGCAGCTGGTGAAATCGCTTTGCAATGCGGTAAGCTATCGTAATCTCTAACTTCGTTTAGAAAAATATTTGGTAATCGTTTTCCTCCGAATCATATTAGGTGCAGAAATGCAACCATGGATTCCTCCTTTGTTAGAGAGATTAATACCTCTTCTGACCAATGAATCCACACCTCGAACACTATTGGAGAATGCTGGAATCACAATCGGCAGATTAGGTCTTGTGTGTCCTCAATTAGTTGCCCCACATTTGGATACATTCTCGGAAGCTTGGTAAAAATCGTGATCAAAATATTTTTGCAATGATCATTTGCACTAATTTGAAATCTATCTTCTTTTGTCAAAGGTGCAAAGCCTTGCGATCGATTCGTGATAACGACGAAAAGGATACTGCTTTCCGTGGATTGTGCGAAATGATTCAAGTCAATCCTAACGGCATCGCAAAGGCATCACATTTATTCTTTTAACAATTCATAATTATAAAACTCGGATTTTAAATAATGTTATAATGACTTTTATATTTTCAGAGTTTTTTGTATTTCTGTGATGCTGTGGTTCAATGGCAACATCCTCCGCCTGAGTTAAACGAAATATTCCGTAAAGTAAGAAAACAAATTTAAAATTCATCATTGTTAAAAAGTCATGTACATAACACCATTCTTTCAATATTATTCACAGATCCTTACGGGATTTAAGCAAATGATGGGCACTAATTGGGAATCATACACGAATCACTTTCCACCTCTCATAAGGCAACGACTTCTCGAGCGTTATGGACTTTAAATGGCATGTTAAAGAAAGCTGTTGAATTTTTAACGGCCTAACAGGTAACCTACCCTCTGAAATACCGAATTCCAAATGTTTTACTTGGCATTACGTTTGAGACTAATACGAGAAAACCTCTGGGATCCAAATTAGTAATAAGATATCTCCGAAACGAATTAGCGACAACTCTCATTAGATAGTTAGTCCCCTTATTCACCAAATATCAATCCACACATATTCGCTAACCTTCATTTTTATCTTGACCTCTGGGTTTACCCTCCCTTTATAGTTTATGTATACTCTTTTTAGTTTTCTTTATTTAGTTTCCTCGGAACATTTCCTCAAAAAATGGATTGCGCAATGTATTCAGTTGAAAAAGAAAAAAAAAATGTAAAAAAATGGATTCATATGAATGGCGTTCGGATGAAAAAATTAACAAGGCAACTGAAAAAGAATGCATGTTAAATATAATCATTATAATTATATCAGTATTTTAAGTCTACATATTTTTTTCCATTTATTCTGATAATTACCCGTTTACCATGTGTCACGTGATCCCGAGCTATACCGTTGTCTTAAAAATGCCGAAGGCCTTTTATCATTCACTATAATCACACGTATTGATGTCTATGGCACTTTTAATTGAAGGGCGAGCGCGTAATTGAGAAAAAATCAATACATGAAATTGAGTTCACGAGTTTTTTCAAATTCGTAATGTTTTGACATGTTAGCTTACTAATCTGATTCAAAAACACATTTCGGACAGGAGGGTTACAGAAATGTATCCTATTAACGATAAAACCTCCTTACCTTTCTTGTTTGCACTCAAAACATACGCGTCTGTTTCATAAGATAAA